AAAGGTGGATGCCACCCAGGTGGCCCCCCAGCTTTTTTTCCCTTGGTGGGCAGCAAAGCAAAGTTTATTGAGCAACAGTAAAGTGATAGGACAAAGCTCCCAAAGAGGGAGGGGACCTGAGAGTATTGCCTGAATATTTCATAATAAATTATTTTAATAACAACCTGATACTTTCAGAAAGTCTAGAAGAAAAATATTAAATCCAATATTTTATTGAAACAAAAGTAGAATCAAAGTTAAAATATACTTGATAATTTTATAAGTCATAATAAGATGTGGAATATCTATCTCCATATCTGTGTTCTGAGATGGCACTCTATCAATGGTGTATACCTAGAGATACACATGTAAAGAGTTAATCAAGGTTCATGACCCTGTCCTTCCAAATTACTGGTATCTCATATTTCCTTTGTACCTCACTTTCTCCCACTCCTGCAAATACCAACAACAACAGAGCTGAATTTTAAAATAGAAGAAAAGGTAATAAAGCTTATGGAAGATAATGAATAAAATGAATGTTTAGTTTGAGGAAAGATTTTTAAAATAATACTCCAAAATTGCATATCTTAATGAACATTTCATAGTAAAACAAAATGCTTTTGGACAAGAAGAGATATCATAAACAAAGTAAAAACAAAACAAAACAACAACAACAACAACAAAAACAAGTCATAAACGAGAAAGGGATATTTGCAATGGAATCTAGAATAAAGAATTGCTATAAATCAATTAAGAGACAACCCAAAAGGCAAAAAGAGCATATGAAAGTCTAAATGACCAATACACATGAAAACTCATTAGTCATTAAAGAAATGTAAATTAAGATCACAAAAATATATGGTACAGCTATTGAATTAGCAAACAAAACAAAATACTGCTAATCCAAGCATTTGCATAGTAGGTTCATACTTTGATGGTCGGAGTGAACAGGTATGCTAAAAGACAAAGAATTTTGTTTATCTTGTATACCTTTGTGTGGAGAAACTATCTCCCCAGGTTACATAGAATACATATGTGCTTTCAGATAGGCAAGGGATTAGAAGTATACTATCAGAGTAGTTTAGGAAGCCAACACATTAAAGTGGTCTTAGATTCATCATGCCTTGGGGTACCTAAAGGAAGCAAAAATTAAATCTAAAGAGGGGCACCTGGGTGGCTCAGTGGGTTAAGCCTCTGCCTTCTGCTCAGGTCATGATCTCAGAGTCCTGGGATCGAGCCCCACATCGGGCTCTCTGCTTGGCGGGGAGCCTGCTTCCTCCTCTCTTTCTGCCTGCCTCTCTGCCTACTTGTGATCTCTCTCTCTGTGTCAAATAAATAAAATCTTAAAAAAAAAAATTAAATCTAAAGAAATGTATCCTTAAAACAGACCTCACAAGAGTTCCAAAGATAAACACTTTCAAACATGAACTTAAAATTCAAAATTACAAAACACAGGAGGAAACATATCATCATGAATAAGAATCAGTAAAAATAATAAACTGCATATTTATACCCCTCAAGAATATCAGAGAAAGAATTTTGGGGTTATATAACAAAATAATTGTGCTTAAAATATTAAAGTAATAAAAGATGGACTAAAAAACATTAGAAAGGAACACAGTACTATCCAAAAAGATCAGGCATATTTTGAAATTAAAAAAAAAAAGAATAACTAGAATTGAATAAAATAGTGAAAATTTAAAACTTGGCAGTCATGTTAAAATAGCAGATTAGATCCAGATGAAGAGAGAATTGCTTAGCTGAGAGAGATATATGAAAACCATTCCCAGAATGCAGCACAGAGAGATAAAGAAGTGGAAAATAGGAAAGAGAAGATAAGAAAGGTATAGAATGAAAAGGCCCTATTTACTATGTAATAGGAGTTCCAGAAAAAAATAACAAGGAAGAACTAATATACAAAGAGACAAATGGCGAAAAATTTTCCAGACCAGCAAGATAAGAATACTCAGACTGAGGAACTGTGATCAATCCCCAAATAGAGTAAATATGTATCTACACTTTGAATTTATAATAAATATATAAAATGCCAGAGGTACCTTGGGGGCTCAGTCAGTTGAGCATCCAACTCTTGATTTTGACACAGGTCATGATCTCAGGGTTGTGGGATTGAGCCCGGCGTCTGGCTCCATGCTTGGTAGGAGTCAGCATGAGGTTCTCTACCTCAGCACCACATACCCCTATTCCCCTGGCTCGCATGCTACCTCTCTTTCTCTCTCTAAAATAAATGAATGGGTCTTTACTAAAAATAAATAAAAATAAAAATAAATATAGAATGCCAAAGAAAAACAACTAACCCATAAAAAATGAGAGATTTACAGAAAAATTCTCAATAGCAACAAGAGAAGTCAGAAATCAGTATGTTATCTCCAAAGTCTGAGAAAAAATAACTGTCAACTTAAGATTTTATGTTACTAAATGATTATTCAAGAATAAAGATGAAATAAAAATACATTTTCATCCAAATAAAAACTGAAAGCTTTTGCCACTATATATCCCCACTAAAGACATTTCTTCAGGGTGTCCCCGAAGAAGAAAAATTATCCTAGAAGGTATGAAGAAGAATAATTAAAGAATTGATCAACATGAGAATAAATGGCCAAAATAACATAATAAAACTAGATTATCTAGATAAAATTAGATTGTTAAAGTGGTTGGAGGGTACATGGGCATTCATAATTTTATTCTTTATTCCTTTTGTGGTACTAAAATATTTTGTAACAATTTTTTTAATAGTTCCAGGTAAAGGTCCTGTGAGTGGAAAGAGTTTGACCTACTTATAGAAGTGAAAAAGGCCAATGTATCTGGGACACAGTGAAGAGAAGTGATACAAAATGAAGCTAGAGAAGTAAGCAGAAGTCAAATCACAAAGGCCTCAGAGACCATGTTAAGGATTCGTCATAGCCAATAGGAAGCCATTAAAAGAATCCAAACAAATGATTTAAACAATATAAATTAAATGTTAAAAAGATAATTCTGCCTGCTGTATTTAAGAAGTCATGGTAAGTATCAAGACCCAAACATATACCATTGTATATCTCACTGGTCCTGATTTGTCCACTGGTCCTGATTTATTCAACTTCTGAGATTATCAAAGGCAAAATTCTCTCCAGCACATCTGGTAACATTCAGAGATAACTCCTCTGTATTGTACCATATTAGATTCATTTTATGACCCAATAAGAACCCCTATGCAATGAGATCATTTTTCCCATTTTTTTTCTCATTCAATGAGATCATTTTTATTCAAATTACAGTCCAGTATCCTTAGTGGAAAAGAAGACTGTTGCTACATGCTGGAGTATTATTGAATGCAGGGAGAAACGCAAAGGTTTCAAGGAGAAGCAGGTGGTTCTAAAGATGACTCATGGAGGATAAGGAGAATATAAGTCAACAAAAAGGCAGGACTGGGTATTCCAGATGAGGGGGATATGGAATATTTTTCACAAAATTGCATAAGAATCAGCATGTTCTGGGGAACCTGGGTGGCTCAGCACATTGAATGCCTGACCCTTGATTTCCATTACAGTCATGATCTCAAAGTGATCCAGCCCCCCCGCATGCTCAGTGGGTAGTCTGTTTGAGATTCTCTCCATCTACTTCTGCCCCTCCCTTTGGCTCAGGTGCACATACTCAATCTCTCTCTCAAATAAAATCTTAAAAAAAAAAAAAAAATCAGCATGTTCCATGGGAATATTGGTTTGATCAGTACTTTAAATTCCGTTATGGAATAGTAGTAGAAACCAATGGATGAATAGCATATGGAGAGATTAAGAAATTAATATGTTCTCCTGAGGCCAACAAAATATAAACATTTTTAAGCAGGGATGAGCTTTTGAACATATTTCTATTTATATTTTTTTAATGTAGTGGGAGAATAAGGAATACATTGCAGACTTTTATTCTTAACCTCTTCAAGCACCCTGCCATCCCCAGGTGCTTCCTCCACAACATACCTGCCACATTCCTACCAGATTACTGCAGCCCTTGCTCATACAACTTCACCAGCATTCTACTGCTTAAAGGGTAAAGTCCAAACTCCTTAGTACAACATTTAAGACTCTCCAAAATCCGACCCCAACATACCTCTCCAAAAAATTTACTTTAAGGAAATTAATACTCCCACCAAATGGCTGAAAAATAAGTCCTGAAGAGGCCACTGTATCTCCCACCTACTTTCCTTTGTTTATGCCATTCTTTCTCTCCGGAATGCTGGATTTTCTGTTTACTAGTTAGTCCTATCCAGGTTTTAAGGTCTAAAGCAAACCCCTATGTCCTCTAGGAATGCTTTTCATACCACTGTAGGATCACACTGACATCATCTCTTGGAATTCAGTAATTGTTTTTGTCTCTAACCCTCCTCTGGTACTGAACACAAGCTACCCTACCAGAAGTTACCATTTTAGGTAGAGGGTTACATACCTCTCAAGCAGGAACAAGTTAGTTTATAAACTTCTTACCATCCCCAACTGCTTCCAGCAGTGCCTTGTACACCATTATGCTCAACAAATGTTAAACATTACCAGGCCTTAGTTTGAAATCATAAACGGATTCTCCCCACCGGTAGCTTTTGGTAAGTTCTCCAGTAAGGTTACTATTAGCCACACCCTCAAACGCCTAGCACACCGGTGTAGGCTTCTGGCCCTGACACACTAAGGAAAGATGGATTACTTCAGTATAAAAGACTGTCAACAACAGTCAACAACGTTGTTGCGAAATCTGATTTTCAACGCAGTAAGAGTGCTAAAGTGATGGGCTTTTAGTAAATATTTGTAAGTAAAAAGGTTCCCACCTTGTGATGTCCTTTCTCAGAACCGAGCCGCCCAAAAGCAAAACCGCAAACAGCCATCCCAGCACCTGGAACGATGCCCCAGCAAGGCAAGCTGAGGAGGCGGGCTTTCATCACTTTGATTGGCTATCTGGAGACGCCTGTCTTTGATGATTGGTAGCTGCCGCGAAGGACGCCGGGACTGGCACGTGGTACCGGTCTTCGGAGCCAAAAGGGGACAGAGATGGCGGCGGAACCTTCTACAGCTCGATTCGCCTTGTCTTCTTATCAACAGATGGGGAGGAAGAGTCGGCCGTGGGGTACTGCTGAGATTCAGTGTACTCAGTGTGGAAGAAAGGTGTCCAGAGTTTCTGGTGAGGAGATTGAGGGTGGTCCCCCTAGGGCCCTGCTCTGCCTTGGCCACCGGCCCTTCAAGGGCTCCATCCCAATCAAGCTGCTGGGTGCGGAGAACTGAAAGCGAGGCCCACCCGGAGGTCTGAAAGCCAAGTGAGCTGGCAATGTGGTGGGGGGGTGGGGGGGGATGAGGGGCGGCTGTTCAGTTGCCGCAGCAATATGGACCGTGAAAACTGTCTCCTGGGCCCACCCTCAGGGCAGCTAAGAAATCCTCTGTGGTCGGTTGATAGTGGTTCCGTGCCTCTCCAGAGCTTTCCCACCCTGCATCTGCGTCTCCCCTTTTTTCACTGATTCTTTTAGGGGATAGTGTGTGAGCTCTCTTAAGCACTATTTCGAAAACCTCCCCAGGTTCACAAATTCATGGAAGAGTAGATGTAAAAATTTAGCCCATGGTCTCATGATCTAGAAGTAATGAAATTTAATTTTCCTGTGTAGTTTTTTTGTAGGAGTAACTGGTAGACCACTTTGAAATTCTCCTGGATTAAAAAACAGGTGTTTGGGATTGGGAGGGAGGCATTATTGCTCAATTTGGCTTAAGGCATTGTTTGGGAGACGATTTGTTCCTGTTGTGCATCTTGTGTTTTTCTTTGTACGTCAAGAGGAAAAATACACTGCACTCCTATTGATCTAATTTAGAATCTACTCAAGTGAAGACACGTTCAATTACTTTAATTTAAAATGCCTTAGAATGCTGTCTCTGACGGAGAGGAGCTGTTGAATTTCGAACTGCAGCTGCTGAATGAAGTCTTACTACAAACCCCATGACTGTTTAATGTTTATACTTTCAAAGTGAAAGTCGTTAATTTTCTCAGTCCTCCAAGATGGACTCTGTTTAAGGGACATGGACCTTTGTAGAGAAAGTTGGTTGTATTTTAGGGTGGAGAGGCAAACTTCTTCAACTCTGTTTTGTTTTGTTTTTAATCACTGCTGTTACATAGAAAATCTCCAGTGTTTGAAAGAAATAAGTTGTTTACAACAGGACCTTTTAAAATCACTCGTTCTTCCGTATGTTTGTATTACAATGCTCAGAAATACTCCAGATGGTGTTTACTGAATAAAAAATTGTGAAAGTGCTTTGTAAGCTGTGATGCACCACAAATTAGACTTGAACAATATCAGAAAATTTATAAAGATAGAACAGTTAAACAAATTTTATTTCTTTGGTAGTATCTCCGGAATTTAAATAGAACTTTAAATTTAGCTTGGTCATAAGCAAGTTTCATATATTTCACTTGGCTTGAAAACTAAAGCTTTTTTTAGTCAAAAGAATATAATTCTTATAAATCAGCAAGAACACTAATTTTTTTGCCAATAAAAGATGACTGATTTAATCTAATAGTTTTCCTTTTTCTTGCAAAGTGTTTTTAAAATGACAACTTTTCCAGTTACATAGCTAAAACAAATATGTTTATTATGATAAATGTCAAATTCTGTTTAGAGCATTAAAATCTTGATATTAGGTTTTCGCTCAAGATTATGGTATTTCCCCTCATAAACTCTGGGTTTGTGAGAATGATCTTTATGTGGGTCATGTGTGTGTAACAATAGTAGCATCTGGTTTCTGTCCTTGCCATTATCTTAGATCATTATAAGAGATGGGTATTTCCAGTGTCTCATCTGCCCTCCTTACTCCCTTCACAGGGTTGGGAATATAAATTAGTAGAGGCAATAGTATCAAGTAGAAAGAATATTGGACTTGGAAACAGAACTAGGCTGGAGTCTAAATTATACCATTTACTTAGCCAGATCACCAAAATACTTACCATTTTCTAAGTTGAATATAACCTTCCCAAGTCTGCTTAGCTGTGATATTTACAAAGATCAAATAAAGTATGTCAGAATATTTTGTATCATTATAAGATACGGCAAATTCAAAGATTATAGGTACCAAAAACTAAATTAGTGCAAACTATATTACATAGTACTGCCTGGGTTTTGATCTGGTGTTGGTTTTTTTTTTTTTTTCCTGACTTACATAGTTTCTCCTGAATTTTGTTTGGTAATTCCTACATTTCGAATGGAACTTGATATCTTTTCTTGTAAATGAGCGTCCTCTTTAACTTTCCCCTCTGATTAATGCGTCATTCAATCTATTCAATTCAATTCATTCAATGCTAACAAATCGCTAAAAGTTTAACAACAGAATTTCATCAATAGGTCACCACCATGAACTTCAATGTGGACATGCTTTTTGTGAACTGTGCTTGTTAATAACTGAAGAATACAGCACAATTATATGCCCTGATTGTGAGGTAAGTTTTATCATCTTTCATCTTTAATACATTACAACCTAATGTTAAAGATTAAGATGTTACAGAAAACATACTTCTAGTTGGAACCTAAAAACTTGCATTTTTGCTGCTGACTCTTAAAGAAGCTTAACAAAAGATAAAGCCTTTCTGAGTCATTTTATAATTGTTCAGAGTGATCAAAAAGAATACAGAGTTAAAGTTCTGTATTAATCAGCCTACCTATTTTTTGACTCTTTGGAGACTTCTGTGGAAAATTGCTTTTCTTTATTTTTATTTAAGTACATTCCTTTCAAATTCCTACCCTTCTTTACCACACCAATACCACGCAATCAAATTTTGCACTCCCCTGGCCCTCAATCTTTGTGTGTCATCAGATTTGCATTTGTAGAGATGCCATAGTTTAAAAAAGAGGAGCAAAATAGTGGCCTCAAGTTAACTTCAGAGACACTAAAAAAAAAATACTTACACTGTAGACCCATGATAATGAGAACAAATCAGGATTTCAAGTAAAATTTAATGAACATCTTTGCATTTGCTACAAATACAAATGTATTCAATTTATATAGTATGTCCCTAGAAAATTGTCTTAATCTCTAAATTGTTAACATTCCCCTTGAGATAACCATATATTGAGGATTTGTTTGTCTCCACTGGGTCAATGAGAAAAACAATACAGAGACAGGAGACCTGGAATGCAGTCCTAGTTCTATCACAGTAAGCCTGAATTTCCTTATTTGTGAGATGGAAATAATACAGGCTTTTCTTTGGATTATGAGTCAAATTTGATTATATAGAAGTTCTCTATAGGCTTCAAAACCATTAAAATAAGTGTTATAATCGACCCGTGATTATTTAGGTGTGGATTAATTGGCTTGTGGGTTAAACATGGTAAAAATACACATACATACATTTATATAAATTTGTGAAGGTTTTAATTATAGCAGAAACATTTACATATTAAAAATGTCTATTTAGGAATTACATACTTTACAAATAATGATCTTTATTGTGAAAGCTATCCTTCTCCTGTTTGTTTTTTGTTTGTTTGTTTTTGTTTTTGTTTTTGTTTGGTCAGTGGGCTCCTCACATGTGGTTTGACTACATAGTTAAAGCAAAGGGGAGCCTTGTTCCTTTGGTTGTAATGGAGCATCCCTGACTAATTCTTTCTCGTGATGGGTAAAGAATAAGGGAAGGGGAATAAGCACGCAGATGGAACTGTCTCTGCTTATACTCATCCTGTTCTAATATTCAAAAAAACAGGCAAATTTATTAGAACAGTAACTTTTCCCTTTTTTGGCAAATGATTTCATGTTCAATGGTCTTAAATCATTATACTTCTATTATTTTGGAAAATGTATACAAATGTTTATGATATGTTTACAAATACTGGTTTTGATTTTAGGTTTGTGATAAATCTATTTTATATCATTTTGACTAGGTCTGACTTTGGAAGATCTGTGATTTTTCCTATCCTTCCCTCCTTTCTCCCATTTTCCTTGTGCTGTTAGCCCAGGGAATTGACAAAGGACTGTAATTGGATTCTTCAGATGCACTAAAGCTGGTCACTACTTTTTAAAAAAAATTGTATTTATTTGCGAGTGACAGATAGAGAAAGCACGAGTGGATGTGGGGAGGAAGAAGCAGCCTCCCTGCTGAGCAGGGAGCTCCACTGATGCAGGGCTTGATACCAGGACCCCTGGGATCATGACTTGAGCCCAAAGCAGATGGTTAACCAACTGAACCACCCAGGCGCCCCGGCTGATCACTTAAGGGAGTCCCTTCAAGAAACCTTTCTGAAATTGTTACCACTCTTTTATTAGTTTTCAAAATTTGGGATTTTTGCTGATATCTAATATTTATTTGGAAAAAGAATGAATGGAAGAATCTAAATTAGTAAGAATGAATTTATAGAATATTTCAGTACTGTAGATTATTATTTTTGTATTATGTGGTCTTTTCTAAAAAGTAAGATTTAGGGGCTCCTGGGTGGCTCAGTATGTTAAAACTGTACCTTTGGTGCAGGTTATGATCCCAGGGCCTTGGGATTAAGACCTTCATCAGGCTACCTGCTCAATGGGGGGGAGCCTGCTTCCTCCTCTCTTTCTCTCTGCTGCTCCCCCTGTTGGTGCTCTCTTGAATAAATAAAATCTTAAAAAAAAAAAAAAAGAAAGATATAAATACCTATATTCACATAATTTATCTTTAATTTTGAAGACCTACATAATGCTGTTTGTTTCAAATTTAAACCTAAATTGATTCCACTCAGGATAATGGATATACTTTTGTTCTTATTTCTGAGTTTGGGTGAATATGGATTTATTGTTTATTTTTCATAGTTGTATAGTTTTTGATAACCTCTGTTCTGTGCTTTTGATTGATATTGTTAATAATAACCATTCTGCATTTTGCACAGCAAGATGGCAGATTTTGTTCAGAGGATCATACTTAGGTATCATCCCAGAAGTACTGTATTGACTTTTTGGACCTGAGTCCAAAAATATACTATATGAGGAGATAAGGATAAGTTATCTAATCAATAGATTATATATATTAAAATCCCATGTGGATTGGAAATGTTAATAATATGCAAATTAAAAATGTAAACTAGAAGAAATATAATTGTATTTTCTTGGGTGGGGAAGCCTTGTTAAACATATCACTGTAATGAGGAACCATAAAATACTGGCTAAATTTACCACACCTTTTCATTTATAGTTAACAAAAACAAACCAAAAAACCGACCAGAAATAAAACTTAGATGACAAGCTGTGGAGGTGGGAAGAGAACCTCTATTTTATAAATTACATGTTAATCTTTATACAATTTTAACTGAAATATTTTAAGTCAATTGTATTTAATACTTTCTTAAATTATCTGAAAGAGGTTTTCTGTATTAAATCTGTTCATAGGGGCACGTGGGTGGCTCAGTGGGTTAAGCCTCTGCCTTCAGCTCAGGTTATGATCCCAGGGTCCTGGGATTGAGCCCCACATCGGGCTCTCTGCTTAGCAGGGAATCTGCTTCCTCCTCTCTCTCTCTGCCTGCCTCTCTGTCTACTTGTGATCTCTCTGTCAAATAAATAAAATCTTTTAAATAAATAAACAAACAAACAAATACATCTGTTCATAGTAACATTCATCTCTTACTATGAAATGTCAAACCAAAGGGGGGATAAATGAGTCGGCATATAGAAATTAAGGATTTAGCTCCCAATTTGGGGGGTAGCATTCTTAAAAATAGCATTTTGGTCAGTGTGATGGTCAAAAGGAACACTTTACCCCAAATATTTAATAAAACTTGGATATCTTTAGTATGTTATACCTAAAACCTCGACAGAATATCCTCCCCCCCCACACCAAAAAAGTATATGTAAGTGGGAGGCTGTAACATTTAGAAGTCTGCTTTATTTTTCTTAGCAACATTAATGTTAACTTATTTTCATGAGAGTCTCCTACAGTTACTTTTTAAAAAGTTTTATGTGTGCAAATTTAAATTAAATCAATAGGTAGTACTATGTAAAGGGAAATATGCATTTTAACTCAAAATTGAGTTCACATTTAATGATAATGGATATGCCTAATATATAGATCTTAGCTTAGTTTTTAAATATTGGCTAATAGCCTACAATTACTTTTAATGTCTTCATAATAAACCATTATACATTAAGTGCTATAATTCTTTTTTCTTTTTTTTAAGATTTTATTTGAGCAAGAGGGAGTACAAGCTTGGGGGAGAGGAAGAAGCAGCTTCCCACTGAGCAGGGAGCCTGACACAGGGCTATATCCCACCACCCCAGGATCATGACCTGAGCCCAAGGCAGATGCTTAACCAACTGAACCTCCCAGGCACCACTTTAAGTGCTATAATTATTTTTTTTAAAGATTTTATTTATTTATTTATTTGGCAGAGAGAGATAGCGAGAGAGGGAACACAAGCAGGAGCAGTGGGACGGGGAGAAACAGGCTTCCCTCTGAGCAGGGAACCTGATGCCCTGGGCTCTATCCCAGGATTCTGGGATCATGATCTGAGCTGAAGGCAGATGCTTAATGACTGAGCCACCCAGGCGCCCCAAAATGCTATAATTCTTATCCAATCCCATTATTATAAACATATAGTTGGTTTTCAAAATTTCTCACTTTGTCTTTATATAATCTCAAAACCACTCCTACAAAAAAAATTCTATGAGCAAATTCTGTGAATTTCTAACTCCAATACAAATCCATGTTCAAATTTGTCAGATTTATGCTTAATGTTTTGCAATTTGATGGGCAAGAAGTAGATCTGTCCTTTTTTATCATTATTATGTCAGTCATCACACAGTACATCATTAGTTTTTGATGTAGTGTTCCATGATTCATTGTTTTCATATAACACCCAGTGCTCCATGCAATCTGTACCCTCCTTAACACCCACCACCAGGCTCACCCATTCCCCAAACCCCCTCCCCTCTAAAACCCTCAGTTTGTTTCTCAGAGTCCATAGTCTATCATGGTTCACCTCCTACTCTGATTTCTCCCCCTTCATTTTTCCCTTCCTTCTCCTAATGTCCTCCATGCTATTCCTTATGTTCCACAAATAAGTGAAACCATATGATATTTTATGTTCTGTGTTGACTTATTTCACTCAGCATAATATTCTCCAGTCCCATCCATGTTGATGCAAAAGTTGGGTATTCATCCTTTCTGATGGCTGAGTAATATTCCTTTGTGTATATGGACCACATCTTCTTTATCCATTCTTCTTTTGAAGGGCATCTTGACTCTTTCCACAGTTTGGCTATTGTGAACATTGCTGCTGTGAACACGGGTGCATATGCCCTTCTTTTCACTATATTTGTATCTTTGGGGTAAATACCCAGTAGTGCAATTGCTGGGTCATAGGGTAGTTATACTTTTAATTTTTTGAGGACCCTCCACACTGTTTTCCAAAGTGGCTTCACCAACTTGCATTCCCACCAGCAGTGTAACAGGGTTCCTCTTTCTCCACATCCTTTCCAACATAT